GTAGAATGCAACAACTGATTGGCCTGCAGGAAACGACCAATCAGGCTCCAAGAGGGAAGCAGAATCAGCCAATCAGACGGGACTCATTGTGTAAATAATGTATATAAAAGCCTGAGGTTTGGGGGGGCAATTCAGTCACTGTTTTACAAGCTGCAATAAAGAGCATGAAATCACTACAGTGGTACCTCAAGTTAGATACGCTTCAGGTTACAGACTCCACTAACCCAGAAATAGTACTTCTAGTTAAGAACTTTTCTTCAGGATGAGAACAGAAATTGTGCTCCGGCGGCGTGGCAGCAGCAGGAGGCCCCGTTAGCTAAAGTGGTGCTTCAGGTTAAGAACAGTTTCAGGTTAAGAACGGACCTCTGGAACGAATTAAGTACTTAACCTGAGGTACCACTGTACAGGACTCCGAGTATATTTCAGTAACCAAAGTCTATTCATAACAGTGGATCAACTCTGAGTATGCTTACACAGTTATGCTGCAGAAAGACAGTAGGACTCAACTCTTTTATACGTATTATATGTATAATCATATTTTTGCACGTAATTTTCAAATAATTGTGCATATAATTAGTCAGCCTTTTTTAAAACAAAACAAAACAAATATGATTGACTTGGACATAAGCAAGTACTCAGTGTAAGATGTTGTCCAGTATAAACAATTCTTGATCACATGAAACCACCAAATTCTGTGTAGAAATCATTAAAAATTATTCTTCCTGCATCCCTAGTGATCATGTGCAATATTTATAAAGCCACTTTTGTTTCATTCACTAGCTGGAGGGAGCAAATCATTTGTAAATTACAAGTCATTTGTAAATTACATTAAGAATTTCAACATAAAAATGAATCATGAATGGGGAAGGGATGTAACCTGCTGGCAGAGTATCGGCTTTGCATACAGAAGGTCTCAAACTGAATCACCAGCATCTCCAGTTAGGACTTGGAGAGATAACCCTCTAAAATCATTGGGAGCTTCCACCAGTCCGTATAGACAATACTGAACTAGATAAACCAATGGTCTGATTCAATGCAAGGCAGCTTTCTATGTGATTATTTTCCCTGAATGTGGATAGGATATGGCTAATTACAATTAACCGAGGAAAATCAGGAATTAAGAATTTTCCAAGTTATCGTTCATTCCTTTTATTTTAATTTTTTTTCTGAGCATTTGTAACCCAGTGTCCTGCAGATTGACTCATCAATAGCTTTCCTTTGGACAACAAACACAATGGGCCTGTCTCTTGGCTCAGATAGTAATTGTTCAATTTCCAAGGTTAATTTCAATGTGGAGCAGTAAATAGATTAATGCATACTGTTCAAATAAAGAAAACATTTATGGAAACATCACCATATGGACCCTATTTAAACAGATGATCTGATTAGCATAATGCCCAATGAACTGCAGCAGCAAAGGGTTTTGGAACAGGAGGCAACTTTCTGGACTTTGCCCTGCCATCTTGTACCACGAGAAAGGTGATTTGGCAGCCTATTACTGTGTGACCAGTATTTCATCACCTTACATGATGAAAATTGCCATCTGTACTGCTGAAGAGGTGTCCTTTCACGGCAAAATGGTTTCCCAATCTAGAAAAAGTTGGATTAAACAAGTTTTTTTAAAAAACACAGAAAGGAAAGGGAAAATTACTAATGAAGTCTGAAGTGGTAATTTTGCATAACAAGCTGCTTTAAGAGAGAAGGAATAAGAGTGCTTATAATATTTCAAGTGTGAGCCAGATGTGTCTGTGAATAATCTGTAACTATTTCTGAGCTGATTTCTTTAAAATTGAGTTTTAAATCCTGATTCTTGATTGTTTTTGTGTTTCCCTCACATCCACTTCTTATTCCACCACACAGCATATTGCAGAGTTCCCATTAAATTGGGCAACAAAACAGACTTTGCCAATTGCTGGTATTTTTAGTTGTAGCCTCATCAGCTTGCTAAATTATATAGAGCTTCATGAAGCGTTATTGTCTTCAGCATTTGATGAGTGAAAAACTGTCGATGTGGACAATGAGATGCAGATGCTATAGGACAGTAAACTTACAGAGCCAGCAGCTATATTCCTACATATGTAGCTGGGCTAAAGGAACCCAGACAACCGTCTTTCTTTCCTTACCTGGCTAGTAAACACAGCCATGCATCAAATACAAAAAGACGATTAAAAGAGGTCTTTCTTTTTTAAATTGCTACTTAATTCTTTTCAAGAATTCAAAGTTAGGATCATAGAAAAACAAAAGAAAAAGAAAGAAAAATCCCCATAACAGCAAGAGAAACCAGTGAATAAGCAGCAAACATTATCACATAGAAACCTTTCTAAAGTTATCTCTCTTGAACGAATCAACTTATTCCAAAGTATCAGTGATGTACTTGTCATCACAACAACCCTGTGAGTTTTGTGAGGATGAGAGACACTGGCTTGACAAAGGTTGCCTTTTGAATTTTGTGATAGGGCAATTTCAAACTCCAAGATAATGGCTAGCTGGGGAGACATTCCAATGGCTGGCGGCCATGCCGAAGTAATTTTGACACACACACTCCCAGAGATATGAGGAGCTGTCACACTGGGCTTCAACCACCGCCCATCTCTGTTCTAGGTAAGCAACCTGTTTTGGCTCTGAACTCATATTGCCATAAATTTGGAAAAATAAATGAATAAGAATAAGAAAAATAAATATGAATTCATATATTCCTGTTGGGGAGAACTCCTAAACTTCCTCTTACCCCTTGGCTTCATTTAAAAAAGTGTTGTCTTCTTGCTTTGCTTCAGTTACTTTTGGACAAGCTTAAACTTTAGGTTTATTATATTTAAGTAATATTGACTCCAACTGAATCCCACCAAGTAAAAAACAACAAGTAAATGATAAAACCACATAAACATAATCAATTTAACAACCCAAGACCATGCCATCAGTGCTGCCAAATGCCCAGGAAAACAAAACACATTTGCTTGGCACCAAAATAATGGCCTATAGTTGCTTTGAATGGTGCCTTTTTGTTCCAAATGCCACCAAATCACCACTACTTTTACTACCATAATTGGTCTTTCCTGATGGTTTTAAAGCTCTCTCACATTCCCCTGGAATTCTCAGTCCAGTCAGCCTTGCATGACTGAACCACAGGAAGGTTATAAAATAAACATATTCCAAGTGCCTTTATTCCTCAGTGGTATTTTTAGCAAATTCAGGGTCATAACTTCTGAAAACTCCAGGGGGCTAGTGAGTTTCCATGCTGTTTTTCTGACAAAATAATGGTGGGTAATCTACTATACAAATATTGGCTTAATAGCAGATTCAGCTTCAGTTTCAGTCATCTAAAAACTAGCATTAAAAGCATTTTCATATTGGTATATACCGGCTTCTTTAATGTAAACTTATTTGGGGGAGGGGATTATTTTAAGGGAAAGGTAAGAAAAAGGTCACATTTGTCCTACCACTTTTTTGCCTGCGGTAAAAGTCCCACATACAAAGGAGTAAGGCCCAAAAAAGTCAATAGGACTTGTTCCAGAATAGACATTGCACAGTTAATGTGTCATTATTTCATCACACAATATTTTTATAGACATATAGTGTTGTGGGGGTGGAGGGAGTTAAGACTCTGCTAACCCCTGGATCCAGCAAGTGTTAAAATATAAGGCAGGCTAGCTTCCTGAAAAGGCAATCACCTGGGTGATGGGCCATTAAGAGAACAAAGGATTAAGGGCCTTGGTGTGAGGCAGCAGATGGGTGGAGGCCCTTCCCTCAATAGACAATGCCAGAGTTTGAAATGGAGATTTGGGGCAATGATGTGACCTAGAAATAGCAAGCTGGGAAATTTCTCTTTAAATCCAAGGCTGCTGGCATGGGAGAAACAAAATCCTGTTGGGGTGTCAGTACTGTGAACCCCTCCATTGTAGACTCAGGTTATATAAGTGTGTAAATAAGCCACATATCATAAGCACACTACAGCCTCCACTGTGCTTCATTTCCAAAGGAAACATGAACCCTGGGTAAAGTGCCTGGAACCCCAGGAATTTCACACCACTTGGAGATTGCTATCACATGCAACAATATCATGACTCCTTTCATCCTGGAGTTGTTACAAAAAATGGAATCCAAATCACTGTTGTTATCCCACACTTACCTAGCATTGACCAGATTTCTGTGAGGCATACAGTTGCTCTGTCATCTCTTGATCATATATGAGGGGAGGTTGCAGCTGGGGAAAGGAGAGTGAGACTGCGAGCCACTGACCTTGAACACAAACTACAGTAGGGTACTGTAATATTTCAGGCCCACCAACTAATCTTCAAGATGTAACTCCATAAATAGAGGACAAATGAATGAATGAATGAAACTTTATTTGCATCAGCCATAGGCCATAGCAACAAAGAACATTGCAATATACACAGAACAGAAATAAAAAGTCGATTATATAAAACACAGTCAAATAGTGGATCATATTCCGATTGCCCCAGCTAAAAACCCTGCAACCTTTGCTGTCGCCTGCTCATCTTGATCTGCCAAGAGAAAGGACACTGTGGCAGTGGTTGGGTGACCTGGAATGGACAATAAGAGAGGGCTGATAATCTCATTCCTCAAGTCTTTATAAAGAGTGCAAGCCAGAAGGGCATGCGCCACCGATTCGGTACTGCCATCTCCACAGGGACATAAACACTTTTCGTGTGGAATCTGTTGGAATCGTCCCTCAAGTACAGCTGAGGGACATACATTCAATCTTGCGAGAGTAAAAGCGTGCCTGTATTTTGGAATTGCTAGGTTATGCAGATAGGATGCCAGAGAATCAAAATGGGAAGGTGGATTTATGGCATGCCTTCCTCTGATGTCATTACAGATAATGGCAAATAAGCAAAGGGGAAATGGCTGCTGAGCTGCACCCACCATTGTGAGGCCGGAGGAGGTGATGATGATGATGATGTCCCTCCAGCTGCTGTTATTGGCTGTGGATGCCCTATGTCACATAAGCACATGGCAGCTCAGTGGATATACAAAAGCAGCCCAAGGCAAAGCTTGAAAAGGACGCAGTGGACAACAGTTGTGTTATTCAGTACTTGGTGATCTCCTTCCACATGGAGGCAAAGTGGCAAATGTAAGGAGGCTATCATCCATCAATGAGATGCTGTGGAGCAATGAGAAGGCAAGTGTACCTGCTGAGCAGGACCGCGGCTTGAAAGCGGCAGATATCCATGGTTGGAAGCTGGCGATGGACCTGGGAGAAGCTGTGATTAGCATGTGGAAGGCCGGGATGCCGCAGGGCTGAAGGAGGCTAAAGTATGTGCACGTAAGCTGGTTGAAATTCTGAAGGCCATTGACAAAAGCTGTGTGGATATTTGTGGGTTGATGCTGGGGTAAGTATAAATGGAGAGTGTGGACATAGGTCACCCACCAGACACTGTATGCCTGGGAATTGCATGTTCAGATAGCAGTGTAGGCTGCCCTCCAGGCTCTGGGCGAATGAACCACTGGATATTCATGGGTGGAAGCCAGCTGAGGTTGGCAGGCTGGCCAGTGGAGATAGCTGGGTGATAACTGTTGAATGAGGGCCATTCCCCTCACCATATCTGTGTTTGCCTTTCATGGATGTCACAAGCCGATGAGGCTTTCCCCGAAAGCAGCAATGAAGGGGACAGCAGAGCTTAAGCAAGCCATCTTCTACATCTAAATCAAGGTATTTCTAAATACATCTAAGTAGCGTTAATGACATTCCCCTTTCCAGTACCAGGATGGGAGGCTGTGCAGATGCATCCCTAAGCAGTTGCTGTGGGCTACAAACTTCCTTTGATGTCACGAATGGACAGGGTGGCTGAGGGGAAAGAGGCTGTTTCTAGTGGGAGGTGGCTGGAAGAAGGGAGAAACCCCAGTAGAAGGTTCAGGGGAAGCTGGGGTAGGTAGGCAGGGCCAGCTGGATATGCAGAAGTTGAATATGGGCTGACTCCCTTGTCTACTTGCGTTGCCAACATTTTGTTCTCTCATGGCTCCTGTACCTGTCTCGCCTAGATCGTTTGGCAAAAGCCCAAGTCCTTTAATGGTTCCTGCATTTCTCAGAGGAAAAATGTGTGAGGGTTTCAGTAACTAAAAAGAGGCACAAAGTGTGAGTGCCATATGATGAGACGACTCCTGGATTTTCTCTTGGAGGAATAAAGAACTTGCCAGAGCTCCTCAGTGAAACATAGAGAATATGGAGGGTTGTACACTGAGACTGAAGGGAAGGCAGTGACGAATTTTACAATCCCTCATCAATTTTGAGCAAGCCTTAAAGACTTTTTTATCATGGCCTTTAATAAAGCTAATAAAGATCTGTAAATTTGATGACTGAAAGTTCTGTCCCTGAAAACACCAAAATTATTAGTTTGATAGTAGGTGACTACTTTTTAGAAGATTGTTTTAAACTGTTTCTTTTTAGAAGTTTTAATTGTAGTGATATTTATATGTTTGCCTCCCCGAACTACTTCAGAGGAAGATGTGGGATTTAAATTTAATAAAGAATAATAATAAAGGGACTTTGGGTTATTTTCTTCTTATTATATGGTATGCTGCTCTGCATACTTCAGATGGAAATAGATTCTTTGGAAGGCATTCTTGCCTTAAAAGCACTATAAAATTCTATTAAACAAATAAAGTAAACCGGTAGCATGTTTGTGCCATACCTAGTATGGCACAAGAAACCAGGGTCAAGGGCATCTTCCTTCCTGAGGAAAACTATCCCTGAAATAACATATGTGATGCATACTTATCACCAGGTCCTTCAGCTACTGTGATGTTGCTGTGATGTAATGCAATGTTCAGAAAGTTCTAACTGGTTTAGGAATTACTGTATCATCAGTGAAACAGAGCAGCATAGGAACATGATAGAAATACAAGCAGTAATTGTGAACTGGTAAGTGAGGAACCAGAAGGAGGAGCCTGTAAGTCAGATCCCTCTTTCAAAAAGCCACATGACTTGTGCTCATTCTGCTGTGGGAGTATTAGTGCTCCTCCAGTTCTGGCAGTTCTTCCAATACATTGTCATTATGGCTATACACAATTCAATCTGCCTTATAGACAAGAAATCAGCATCAAATGTATTTCTGAGCTGGCAATATATATGCTTGCCCATTCAACACAAATTTCATGATTTAATACCGAGTTTCAAATTTGGACGGGCTTGGTATGATTTGGGGATATTCATGCAATACTCATTCATGTATGCCTTTCATCTCTATTTCAGATTCCCGATGTGTATTTGAGTATTATAGTAATTGGAGTAGTGGTAGCAATGCTATCAAGGTGGAATATGGCTCCAAACACTAAGATGTTACATAAAGATACCTGTTGCCTCTTTGGTCTTCCTTTATATCTCTCTGTGCACTTTATTTCTTTTCAAACACTTCTGCTAGATTATCAACCTTGGCTTCTTACCCAGAAATAGGTAAGCTCTTGCATGGTCAATGGCAATATCCTTTCTTTACTTCACGTTTTTCTCTAGGCCATACCCAACTGCCTTTTCACATCTCTACCTACTGAAGACATTTTGATTTGCAACCATCACCTCAAGGCTTTCCTAAGTGGCAGTGGGGCTGGCTAGCCTCCGTGATCACGGGTGCCTGGGGTGCAGGCGCATGCCATGAATTGCACATGGTAAGTCATGTCCCCTGGTGTGCATGCACTATGTTATCACACACTGAGGTCACTCTTGCACGTAGCAGGGCACAGTGACATAGCATGCACACACTGGGGGGAGGGGAATAATGATGAAATGCACACACAGGTGGTAGTGTGCACATGTGGCTGCACCACTTTTTTGTGGGTGCCTGTACCCCTCATTTAAAATGTTGTGGGAGCCAGGGCACCCAGGGCTCCTGAGACCTGGTGCCTATGCTAAGCAGTCTGGTCCCTTCATATTCATTGTTGCTTTTCCTTTGATGAACTCTTGTTATTATATCTTTCAAGTCTCGGTATTGTCTTTCAAGTCTCGGTATTGTCTTTGCTTTGCTATAAAGCTTCTCTTCTGATCTTTACTGCTTAAAGTAAAGCAGTCACCACCGCTTTTTCACACAAAGGGTCCCCTCACACCAGTGGGAAGCTGTGGACCAGTGCATTCCAGTAGTGACGGGGTACCAGATGTACACACAATCACAAAACTTTAACACAGACTCCCTCCTTCTCTTTTTCTCTTTCATGAGGGTACACACACACACACAGAGTGAGAGAGAGGTAGAACTAGTACTCATGGGATCAGAAAAATATATTCAATCTTTTGTAATTTTACTTCATCAGATCTCTCCTCTAGTAAGGATGCTTAGAAAACATCCCTATTTGAAAAGTTTGCCTTTGTGTGTCTCATCCTGGAAGTCTCAGTACCTGGAATATAACTTTTTACCCATTTGGAATGTATGTGTATATACAAAGCTAGAAAGAGATAATATCATATGTCCTTGAGCTAACTTGGTGTTAAGCTAATGTCACCAAATGTCATGCTGTGAGCTCTGATCACGGCAAAGAGAGCAGAATGCTGGACAGAGCTGCAGAAATAACTTCTGTCTTTTGTTGCCACATGTACCAGCATGCAGCACGCTTTGCAGAGATCATTTGTACCACAATGCTATTTCACAAGTTGAGATGGGTCACAGTAGGGAAGCGCTTCCTTATATTATTTTCCATCAAAGGGAGCTTATACTTTTTGCCCATCTGAATAGTGTCATTAGACTACTAATTTACACTTTGGTAAAAGGGTCAGGAGTACTCCATTTTTTGATGATCTGATATTAGATTGAAAAGGGAAATTTTAATAAGTGCTGTAATTTGCCACTGCCCTTCCATCATTCAGTCCTTTTTGAATTAGATAGCTTATAAGACAAAAAAAAAGTCCAGTGCATGGAATATTTCAAGGTGTTAAGTCTTTCTAGTACTAAAGAATTCATTTTCTTTCATCCTAATGGAGTCCCTTTCCTGTCCAAAACATTTTTTAAAGAAAGATTTATTCTTCTTAATATTATGTATCAATTTAGGAGGAGAAAATTATCCATACAGAAAAGTCTATGTGACAACTAAATTATTATTATTTTGAAATCTACTCTTTGTAAAATACAAAAAGTGTATTCATGGATTATATTAGTATCTTCAGAAGTTCTGTAGAATGAAATATACAATCATATATATCAAAAATTATATAAAAGTAAATATTGTCAGGTGAAAGCACACAACAGATATATAACTTATCATTATTCTGCTTATTTAGAAACATAGAACACTGATTCAAATATTCCTAGGATCCACAACCCTGCATTGAGCTGTAGGAACTTAGTATCTAACAAAAGCTACAGAAAACACATGCAGAAATAAAAGTTAATTCCTCCCACTGCATTTTGAAGCACATAGCTTCTCATAAATGTATATGAATGTGCTATTTTCCTTTTACAATTATATCCCACATTTATACCATCATGGTATCAAAGGCAGTGTACATGTGCCTCCCATCCAGGCACTGATCATGCTCAGACCTGCTTAGGTTCAGCACAATGGTGCTGTCACATGCTTTGGGCCTCACCACCATGATAGTTAATCTGTTCCATTGGAGCTTGAGGGTCACAGGGAAGGTAGGCATAGTTAGGCCACGTCCAGATAATTCAGGATCATGGACAGTGATCCATGCAGGACTGCAAGCCAGTGTTGCCACAGAGGGCTTTGGTCTCAGAAGTCAGCTGAAGATAGCTGAAGCCTTATGTAAGCTTTATAAGGTCTGTCCTGCACTTGGCCCTGCCTCCCTGGAAGAGCTGACTGGGTAATTTAAAGGAGTCTTATCTGGTTTTTATCCATTAGCTTCTGAAGAGTTGCAAATGTAGAGTTGCTTTTGTGGATTGTCTTCTGAGTGCAAGGGAAATGTTTGGGCCATGTTCTTCACCAGGGCAGGTGTGGAAGAATGTATAGAATGCTTCTCCCTGGGTGGAGCAGTTGTACCTCACACTCCTCTGAGTCTTGCTTGTGGTATTATGAGACTCTTGGGTTGGAGGGATCCTAACATTAGCAGTCCTTTTATTTTGACAGGTATCCCGGCTCCTCTCTCCCATCCCTCTAACCTATCAGAATTTTCTTTCTGCAGATAGCCGAAAACAGAAGGAAGGGAGAAAATGAGATGGCAACATGGACAAAAGATGAAGTGGGAGCAGCATGGGGGGAGGAGGGTCAATGTAAATCCATTAGCAACTGCTGTGACAACATGGTCACAGAACTACGTGGGTTTGGGCTATAATGAAGACCAAGGAACTAATGCCTAGATGACTCCTAAACCATTTTTTCATCTTAATTTTAGACATCAAGTTTGGAGGCACCCTCTTAGAATACTTTGGATTATATCCAAAATAGCACTAAGTCACTCATTCCATTAGTGCAAGGATTTATGCTTGTGCAACAGAATATCCCATCTTTTCCTCCCCTTAAGTGCCCCCGGAACATGTTGTGGGGAATTTTTCAGAACAGATTTGGAGAGGGTGCTGGGTAGACAGGATGGATGGATGGATGAGGGGGAAGTTCCACTGTCCAAGCCTAAATCCTCATGTTAATGGAATGAGTGCCACCCACAGTGTTTGCTTAGGTAAAACAATTAGGATATAGGAAGAAATGTGTTTGGAAGCACTACAAGATAGGAGTGAAACTACAATTCAGCAATCTTTAAGTCTCATTAAGTTGCTATTCTGTGCTTTGGTTGGCCTTCCTTGGTGCAAATTTCTTTGTGGATAATTCTGGCATTTTGTAAACAATCCTATTTACTGGCTATGCTCTATACAGTTCAGCTTTATCAATACATATTATTACGGGTCACCTCACTCTCCCCTTTGGTTCATTCTGTTAAGTGGATCATATAAAATCACTATCTACAGTTTCCCTTTCGAGAGAGTGATTATACCAATCCAGTTCAACTGTTGAACTATCCTTTTAAATGATTCTCAAACTCTTGGAAGCTTTCCCAAGTGCAACTATAGTTATAAATACTGATTAAGTATTAAGTATGACCTTTTAAAGGGGGCAAAGTGGTGATGGTTTGTTATCAGCACAGAGAATCTTGTACAGAAAAATATTTTCCTAGCCTTTTAAGTAACCTCTCTTGTTGATATTTGACCCATGCTTGCATCAATGTACTGCTGTGAGGATATGACTTATTTCTTAAGTTGTTGTATTATCCCAGAGAAAATGTCTTATTGATCTTCTTCTATTGGCTCACGCAGGAAAGAAAACATGCTTTTAAATTATGAGCATGCTACTATGCTTCTCTGTGTTGTGGTGGTCTAATAGATTAATCTATATGGCTTGTATAATTTTCACCCCAAAGCTTCAGGGGACAATAAGAAAAACTTACGGTAGAGGATAAGATTTTGTATTTATTTTTTAAACAGACATAAGCATGTAAATGTTGAATCAGATTGAAAGATAAAGAAGTACTGTTGATGTTGATATTAGCTGAAGTTTAGGCATGAGCTATATGTGCACTAGACCATTAAAGCACATTCAAATCACATTTAACCCCTCAAAGAATTCTGGGCAACCCCTCACAGAGTTACAATTCCCACTAACGCTTAATAAACTATGGTGCCCAGAATTCTTTGAGGGGGGATATGCTCTTTAAAGGTAAAGGGTGTACACAGCCTCGATGTTGCTAAGTATAATGTTGTAAAGTGTTGTGTTGTTGTTGTTTAGTCGTTTAGTCGTGTCCGACTCTTCATGACCCCATGGACCAGAGCACGCCAGGCACTTCTGTCTTCCACTGCCTCCCGCAGTTTGGTCAAACTCATGCTGGTAGCTTTGAGAACACTATGCAACCGGGGGGCCACCAGGTGGCGCGTTGGAAGATGGCTGACAATAACATCTCTTTGACCCATACGAGGTACTAAGGGGCTGCTATGGGAAGTAGGCAGCCTTCCTAATGCCCCCCCAGGATACGGGGGGGGGGGCTCTGCCCTGCCAGCAGTGTTCACAATGCACCCCCTGATACAAGTGATGGGGGTGCCGAACACTTGGCAAAAGGCCCTCGGTGAAGTCAGATCTTCCTGATGCCGATTCCAATCAGCGCGTGCTGGTTGCTTCAGCTTGGAATTATAATTGGAAACATACGATTGGAAATAAAGCTGAAAGCACATACATCAAGTAAAGCTCGAAGATAAGACTGCTGATTTATGGATCTCTGCGACCAGGAGTGACGGACGGATAAGTAAATCTTCTGATGAATTACCACAAGGAGATTGTATGTTTGGAACCAAGGGGGGGTGGAGGAAAAAACTCTTTCCCCCCCCTGCATGATGTGACATAAATAACCCTTCACCCCAGATAGAAACAAGATCGCTGCGTTTTTATGAATCACAGGCAGGATTTTAAGAACTATGTGGGATGGATTAAAACAGGAAAGAAGACTGGAGAATGGTGAGAAAAGTGGAAAATTCTTATGACGCAGTTAAAATATGGCGTCTCGCTAAGACAGGCTTGTCGGAGGAAGAAGGACTGGGGAGGAGAATCAGGACTGTTCGAACGAGAAGGAATGTTGGAATGCAAGTTTGACCTGACAGAGCCCCCAGACTCATTTGATTTATTTGAAAAATAAAGGACAGATCGGAGACTAATCTTGTGTATGGAAGCGTTGTACAGAGGCTGTCCCTGATCGATATGATTTTTGAAAGAGTACAAAAATCCACATAGAATGCCAGCTTTCAACCTGCTTGTGAAAATCATCAGAGATCGCAAAGAAAGGAATTTATGATAACAACAAGAAGAGAAAGGAAGTAATAAAGGACTATCCGGATCAAACTGGACAGAACTGTCTAATGAAAGCAGTAAGATAAGTGATGCTGTTTTGGACTCGAGCCGAGCTTGATGTATGGGCACCCCCAACAAAATTTAAAATTTGGCTGTACAATTTGGAACTAATGTGATATGATAATGTGATGTGATTGGCTTGTTAATAAAAATTATTTTTTTAAAAAGAGAACACTATGCAACCATCTCGTCCTGTGTCGTCCCCTTCTCCTTGTGCCCTCCATCTTTCCCAACATCAGGGTCTTTTCCAGGGAGTCTTCTCGTCTCATGAGGTGGCCAAAGTATTGGAGCCTCAGCTTCAGGATCTGTCCTTCCAGTGAGCACTCAGAGCTGATTTCCTTAAGAATGGATAGGTTTGATCTTCTTGCAGTCCATGGGACTCTCAAGAGTCTCCTCCAGCACCATAATTCAAAAGCATCAATTCTTCGGCGATCAGCCTTCTTTATGGCCCAGCTCTAACTTCCATACATCACTACTGGGAAAACCATAGCTGTTGTAGTATATGGATATATGATTCTATTCTATTCTATTTTATATTTGTTTCTATTGTATGATTGGGATGTAAGCTGCCCTGTGCTCTGAAATGGAGAACAAGCAGGGAATGTTTAAAATGTACACTCCCTAAAATAACTAAATAATCCCAACCTCTAAAACTCAGTAAACAAATGCCACCCCATATTAAAAGGGCCATACGACACACAAGAACACCAGCTCAGTATTGTCAACACTGATTGGCAATGGTTCTCCACATTATCAGGCAGAAGTCTTTTCTAGCCCTACCTGGAAATTTCAGGAACTGAACCACTACCCCGCTAACTGAATTTTCTCATTTTTCCTACAGATTTTTCTGCCTTGCCAAACACTTTTATTGCAAACATGTTTGGGACTCTTATTCACAACAGCACATACGTAGTCCTCATGATCAAAATGGTTTCCTCATATCCCTGATTCCCATTCTTTCATTGTTCCATGGGCTGGCACTGCCCCATGTTCCCTTCTGCAGCTGTGCAGAACGTGAAAATCTCTTGTTATTTTTAAATGGGCAAGTACAGTTTTCCGCAGTTTTAACTTCATGACTTCATGACTTTTGTGATCTCATGAGTACATTAGTATTCCTTTTTGAGCTGTGATTTAATCAATGTGCACATACACTAATGCACATTGGAAACCTGTAAATTGAAAACTGCAGCAAACTATACTTGCACTGTAGTTTGAATAAAGTTTTAATGTAAATGGAAGCATGACAGATCAATAATTCCATTATGGTGCTTGATATGTAAGATCACACAATGTAGACCTCCAAATCAGGAGGGAAAGGAATATTATTTTACATGTTCCAGTTCCTGCCTGAATTGTTCCACACTTAAAGACACAGCATAATTAAGTATTTCTCTCTCTCTCTCCTCGGTAAAGCAATCCTATGCACATTTACTTGAGAATAAATCACACTGAAGTTATTGGGACTTATTTCTGAACCGACGTGTGCGGGATTTGGATGTAAAAATCATAGACTGTGCTTAACTATGCATCGTTCACACAACCACAGTCGGGCTGGCATGTATGAAATATTTATTAATATTCTCTATTATATATCTCTCTCTCATTGACAGTGTGGTTAACACTTTACACAGTATAAGAGGAGAGGCCCAAACTGAGAGGGTTTATGATACATAATTCATTAAACATGAAAAACAATATAGGAAGAGGAAGGAACTGGAGCAGGGATAAGGAGGGGAGGAATATGTATTATTTCAAGTACATGTTCTTAAGCCTAGCAACAATAGAGCATGGAGATGGAGTGTGTGGCAAAGGTGTCATGAAAATGATGGATTTTGAGAAAGGATCTGAAGGAAAAGAGAGAGGCAGCATCACAGACGTGTCCTGGGATGTAGTTCCAAATATAAATGGCAGCAAGGGAGAAAGGGTGTGATCATTTCAGAAAGCTGAATGGCTGAAGGGTGTGTGTGGAGCTGGGGGAGCATGGTCACAAATAGGGGTACATGAAGATAGCAGAGCACCAGTTTTTTAAAAAGTGATCTAGCAGACAGAGTGTGTGGATCCAGAAAATTGCAGGTCCATTAGTTTAACTTTCATTCTGAGTAAATTGGTGGGAAGTGATATTAAAGAGATATAAATGCATAGAAGAACTAGTGTCACTGAAGAAGAAACCATCAAGTTCAAGCAAAGCAAGTCCAGTTTCAAAATTGGGAATATTTTGAAATTGAAATGTTCTTTGAAGTGAATAGTCAAGATCTTATTTTATGATAAAAAGCTGTAATTGTGGAAAATACCTCTTTCTTTGCTCCAGTCATATATGGAAATTCAGCCTAAATCTGAAAGGACTATTCAGAATAGAAAAGGGAAACTGACAAGTGCTTTCATTCCAGGAGAAAATGTGTAATAAATAAGAATATGAATTGGGGTGTTCATGAAAAGTATTGGGTAAAGGATTTGTTTGCGTGTTGTTGTTTTTAAAAAATAGTCACTAGCAGAGGGGAGAATATGGTTAATTTTAATGCAATGTCTATATCTTTGTCAGTGCTAGAAACCTGCGGGTACAATAAGTAAATATGACTGCTTGTAAGTTACATTTATTTGTGAACCTTTGTTAAAATGAAAGGTTCATTTATTACAGGCTATTATCCATGTATATAGAGACATCAAAGAAAGCTAATTATGGCCTTAGTGTTTAACAGGGGATGGATTTTCAAATTGCATTTGCCACAAATTGTATTTTGCTCTCAGATATTTGAGGAAAGGTTATAAACTTTATGAATTGCATTTCTTTGGGGGAACCCAAGCAGAAGACAAAAGAAATTGGCTGTAGATTAATATTTGCATTAAAACAACCAAAGTCTGCTTTCTGAGAAACAAATGAATGACTCACATTGCAGTCAATGGGCCAAATCTTGCATTTTTATATCAAGCACATTTTCTACTGTGGGCAATTTGACTCCACATCCCTACTTTGTGCCTCTCTGTTTGTTTTCATTATGTGAAATAAACTGGCATAAGTTAATTAAATTTCCCAATCTATTTGCTTGGTAGAAATATCTATATTGCTTAAGATAGAGGCATTCAGATAATTGGGTTGGGTTTTGCTTGTGGCCTTTCTGATAGCTATATGTGTTTTACTGTGTGGAAATCAGTTATCCGAAAGTTTCTGTTGAAAATAGCAAGAATCTAGAGCAGAACTAATCCTGTGGAGAGAGAAAGTTGCCACATCACCCGAATATCTGGGATGTGAATCCAACTAACTTGTGCGCTAATGTGATTATGAAGCGCTCAAATAAGATTCAGTTCTGCTGTGGTACACTCCAGCCTATCAGCACCTAATTAGGAGATGTGAAACCAGCGGCTCTCCCAATCTTGTTGAACTCCAGTCAGGTCAGAGATAGCAGAAGTTGTGATCCTCCAGTGTCTGCAGGGCCACAGGTTCAAGCATCCCTGGCATATCAAACAGAACTAATAAGGTGAAGATTTGGTTCAAACTGGTGTATGAGGTCCATTGAGGTATGTGATGGTATAAAACGGGCCCACTGAATATTGTTTTGAGTAAACTTCATAGGCATTTTAGTTGCTGGAGCCATGGTGTAAATGCATTGAAGAAGAAGAAGAAGAGTTTGGATTTGATATCCCGCCTTTCACTCCCTTTAAGGAGTCTCAAAGCGGCTAACATTCTCCTTTCCCTTCCTCCCCCACAACAAACACTCTGTGAGGTGAGTGAGGCTGAGAGACTTCAGAGAAGTGTGACTGGCCCAAGGTCACCCAGCAGCTGCATGTGGAGGAGCGGAGACGCGAACCTGGTTCCCCAGATTACGAGGCTACCGCTCTTAACCACCACACCACACTGGCTATTGATTCACCTGTGCTATTGATTCACCTGTAGAAAATCAGCAGTTAAATCCAACAATGCACATTCTTGCTAGTTAGTAAGTTTAGGGGCTAACGACCACAGAGCTGCATTGCTGATAGGCAGAGACTCAAACCATAGAAATGTAATTGTTTGAGAGAGGGCTCTGTGTGATGTCATTTCCATTCCTCTCTTGAGTGGGCATGATTAAAGAAGTATTTCCTGTTCCTTCCCTTTCTTTTTCTTCCTTTGACCAGCAATGGGGGCAAATGTGCCCTCTGCTTATTCTAACCCAGGCACGTGCCTGAGTTTGCTTGTACTGCAAATGTAAGTATTTCACCTGCATGGTTTTTACTGCTGCTGTAGCTGAGAACCAATGCATGAGTATGAGTAAGTAAATAATATTTTAAACTTCCTTCCCCATCTGTTGTCGGAATCTTTGTTAAGTGAGATTAGAAAAGAGAAATGCAACTTACTTTGCAGCTGGACTTGTTCAAAAGAAGGCTTTACAGCCTAATTCCTATGCTCCAGTTTGCTGCCAGGGATGGGACTTTAAACTCTCTTCAACCCACCCCTGGGCTTAAGGGATAAATTGCAGTTAAAATATTCTCATAAAACCCATCCCACACCACCTACAGCAGATGCTAGGCCACCATATTCCTACAGCAGGTGAAGCTTTGCGGTTTCATAAAGGTGAATCATACACAGTATTAGTATGACCAAGTCTGAAAGGAAGGTCACAGCATTCACTGTGATGGAAATAATAGAGATGTTTCCAGCTGCTGTCTCACCCTGGGTTTCAAGCACAAGAATGCAGAGAGGTGCAGCTCAAGTTGTGTGGACAGGCGGAGTCCCCCCAACCCCAGGCGACCCCTGAGTGGAATAATGACTCAAGACAACATGCTATGGGAGTAAAATTGGCCGCAACTTTATTAAGTTTCAGATGTAGGGGGACCTTGGCTCAGGCATTGGGCGTTTATCCTTCCCAGTCCCCAGCCGGGGATCTGGGAGACTTCAGGGTTATCCAGAATGTGTGGGGATTGGGCTGGCTCTGGAAAACATATGTTCAAGCAGAGAGTTCGCCCTCCGTTTTGCCGCTGTTGGAGGGGAGAACAATAACAACCTCTCGGCGTATGGCCAATGCCTCCCCTCAAGACCCCTTTAATGGGGAACCCTGGTATCACCGCCGCAAGGGGGGCGTGGGTCACCGCTTCTCCCCCCCCCCCCCATTTATGAAGAT